ACTTGCTGTATTACTGTTTATCTGTGTCCTAATTCCATTCAAATATCTATTTCTTTGTGGTAGTCGTTTTGTCATAAAATGAAAGAGTGTTGTGTCAGGGCAATCAAAGCAAACAATATTACTTGCCTCGTTCTCCAGAGTTCTGTATTAAACAAGGTTTGCCTCCAGAATACTATGAGAAAATAAAGTAGATTTTAAAAAGGTAATGGAACACTATTATTGAAATAGTCCAAAGAAAAATAAATCTCTTTGTTTGAACCAATAAACTATAGGAGTCACAAAAATGTAAATTCTGTTAGAAGTAGATATGTAGATAAATAATACATTGTGCAATTACTGAATAAAAATCTTACAGGATAGATGTGATTAATAAGTAACATAATTCCAGATCCAGAGTTAATACCTTTGTTAAGACTAAGCCTCATTATTACAAAAGATTGTTTGGATCTTCAAGAACTCTTCGTTATGCAAGTGGATTAGAGGGATACAATAGTCTTTTTTCAAAGCTAAATCTTCAGTTTTGTTTTGTTTTTAAATCTGGGTTTTCTGCTCACTGGCTGCTAAGTTAAGGTCGGATTTGTCTTAATATTTTTCTGCCTATGGCAGTTTTTCAACCGTGGCAACTTTAAGATGTATGAACTTCAACTCCATGCTGACTGGGGAATTCTGAGAAGTGAAGTCCACACATCCTAAAGTTGTTTAAAAAATGGCCAATGGTCTCTAAATGTGTTGGACTATTCATTGGTGCTAATCAGCACTGCCAATGGCTTTATTTACAGTTTTTATATATCTGCAGGGATGATGGTCCACATACATCTGGAATGTGCCAGTCTGGGAAAGGCAGAAGCTGTTCCTTCTGCCTTACAGTTGCAAAGTTCTAGTCCCAGAAGAACTATCAAGGAATTGGCCAGACAACAACTGCAATTCTGAACATGAATTCAATGAATACATTCTCAATTTTGACTACGTTGGCAAAAGCTACCACCTGTTCAGTTATAAAATAAATCTGTCATATTATCAGAGTTAACGTATTCTGGGCTAGTTCACTATTCAATTCTCACCTTCCCATCTGAATTTAGAAACTATGGAGAAAAACATTGTTGTAAGAGTTTTATGGAAATGCTGCTGAAGACACTCCTCTACAAGTAAGCATGTTAAAACAAATGTGGTCTAATAGCTTGCCTAGTAAGGTAACAGGCTTTTTTTTTAAAGTCTGGGCAAAACTATTGCTACTCTGAAGCAAAGTTTAACAGAAATGTTAATTTACAATGTGTGTGTGTGTGTGTGTGAGAGAGAGAGATTAATTCCACATTAGTTTTTAGTTCTTACATTACAGTGTGACAACCAAAGCACATTGTGGCTCATGGTTATTCATTTTTATTATTTTGATTTATATCTACCTTTTTATCCAGGGGGACACTTGCAGCACCCAGCAATTAAACATAAAATGTATTTAAAGTGTTATTAATAAATTATATGCAAATCTGACCTGTAAATTGTGTGGCAAAAGAGCCTGGCTAATCTTGTCTGGGCTCAGAAACAAAGCCAGGCTTGGTTTGGGCAGTACTGGATGGGAGACCACCAAGAGGATCCCAGGACTGTTGGGTAGATATAGCAGAAGGCAATTGCAAATCACTTCCATATTTTTGCCAAGAAACCTTCCGTGAAGTCACAGAGAAACCAGCTTGATTTGTCTGAATCTTTTACCTTTATACAAGCCACCTGATCTCTTGACGGATGAGACAAAGTTGCTGGTTTCCAGTTGCTAATGGTAATAGCCATAGGTGATCTGCAGCTGAATGCTGGGAAGGTGTAAAAATACATACGCAAGAGTGTGAAGGCTTTATGTGTGCATGTGGTGTTTTACTGATAACGTGTGCAATTAAAATCTTTGTTTCCCCTGTATCTTACAATATAATTTTATAACTCCTTGCAGTAGAACAACATTTGGGGGAATCTTACTCTTTGTGGCCTGAAGGGTAGGTCAGCATCATGCACATGAAGATTTGAAGTGAGCTGTTACAGCTGTTCCCTTTTTATTTTAATTGTGATATCTCTGTTTCAGGCCACAACAGTGCAATTGAAGTTCTGCCTGCATTTTTTATGTGCATTGCGCAAGAGATGGAGCTTCAGTTGTGGCCATCATCTTCACTTTTGGACCATAACCTGTGTGCCTTCCTGGTCAAATGGATGGCAACTCTCTTACTAGTTTTTTATAATCCTGGCCAAAAGAGGTTTTTGAGAACTATAACAAGAGGGCTTGGTTGCTGCACGCTGATCTGGGGCTGCAGCTTGTCCTGAAGAAATGTGTGAGGCTCACACTGACTTCACAGTATGGGAGAAAAGATATTGCAAACATGGACTGAACAAACACGCATGGTCAATCTGATTTTTCCCATCTCTTCGAAACTCCATATAACAGTGTTTTTCAAACTTCACAGCATTAAGATATGTGGAGTTCAGTTTCCAGAATTCCTCAGCCAGCATGCTGGCTGGGGAATTCTGGGAATTGAAGTCCACACATCTTAAAGTTGCCAAGTTCGAAAAATACTACTACACATTAACATGAACGTAAAAGCATACTCCTGGCTTACTGTTCTCAAGCCAAGAAAGGCAAAGGTAAAATAAACAAACCAGGTAGTGCTTTCAAAACTAAGTTTATGTTACAGTTACATAAACTTAGTTTTGAAAGCA